TTGAACCTTTGCCTTAGTATGGATAAAGTGACTTGACTACAAGCCCAGAGCAAGGCAACCTTAAAAATTATTTTTTTAATTGGGGCTGTACAGTAGTGTCTCAATGCCCTGTTTATCATTTCCGATGCCTTCTTATTGGTGGTCCCTGCAGTCAACAGCAACTTGGCGGAAACAGGGACCTCCACAGTGGCCAACACCCTAATGAACGGACACTTTGGGGTTTTTCCTAGGAAGTCCTGCTGGCTACTGCGTCTGTCCTTCCCTGGCAGTTAAGCATCTTTCCTGTGGAAACACTGGCGCTAGATTTGAGGTTAACTCTTTTCCGTTTCCCTCAAAAATGCTTGCCAGCTCACCTCTGAGGAGGTCTGTGTTAGTCTGGGTGGACTAGAGAAACAAATTCATAGATACTCATATGTGTGTAAGAGAGAGTTTTATATCAAAGGGTAATTGTATATTAACATCCCAGCCCAGATCAAGTCCATAAGTCCAATATTAGCCTGTATGTCTGATACCAGTCTATAAATTCCTCTTTAGACTCACGATAAACATGCAATGACGCCAAATGCAGGAAGAGCATAGGCCAGTGAATGGGAAGTCCTGTGGATCCAGTGGCACTGTAAGCATCTCAGTGCTGGTAGGGGTTTCCATGTGGCTCTCCCATTTCCAGGGCTCTAGTGTAGCTCCATGTGTCTTGTCAGCAGGGAGATGAAGCAGAGAGTCTGTATCTGGCCTCCAGTGAACTCTTTATCTCCATGGAGCCTCCAAATGAGGTCATCAAGCTGTGACCTGCTTGACAGGCTGAACTCCACCCCTTTGCAAGTTAATACCTGGTTATGTAACTACCACACGGTCCAACTTGGCACAGGCCCTTGCGGTAGATTCCTAAATCTCCTTATGCCCATAACCCAGGTAGCTCAGGGGTGAGTGAGTAAATGAAGTCAAGTGAACAAGTCATTGTTTTGCAATCAGGAGTCAACTTCAACTCATAGCAACCCGATGTGACTGAATAGCCTTGTGGGGTTTTCAAGTCGTCCCCCCCCCCACCTCCAGGGGGCACCAGGTGGGTTCCAACTGCTGACCTTTCCTTTAGCACCTGAGTCCTTAGCCATTGCTCCTTCAGGGCTCTTTAAGTAAACAAGTAGACAGCAAACCCAGACTGCACAGGGCCAGAGAGGAAACAGGTCTGAGAGCAAATTTGAAAAGGGCGGTTCCTCTGGACAGATGAATTATAAAAAGCAACTTCCTCCAGTGTTTCCTGACGGGCCAAGGCTGGGAAGCCTACAAGCAGGCTGGAGGAGCCACGTCTGCAGGTTGTGCTTTGTTTCAGGGGACCACGGGAAGTTTAAAACAGTTGTTGGCAAAAGCCTCCAGAACTTCCCTCTACATAGCTCGCTCACTCACTGCTGTTATGTTAAGGCCAACTCTTAGTGACCCTAGAGGACAGGGTAGAACGGGCCCACTGTGGGTTTCTGAGATTGTAAATCTTTATGGGCGTGAAAAGCTTCCATTTTCCATGGAGTGGCTAGTGGTTTTGAACTGCTGATCTTGTGGTTAGCAGCCCATTGTGTAACCCACTTCACCACCAAGGCTCCTCCTCTACGTAGCAGGCAGTAGAAAATTGGGTCTACCCCTACACCCTGAAACTGTCCTGATTCCATCACTATAGGGGAGGGGCTCCAACCCCTTCCTACTTGGCTCTAATAGAACACCAGCCTCCCCCCTTCTTGATTCCAGGTCTCTCCCTGAACTAAGGCAAGGCCCTTCCAGGCCTCAGAACTGTCCTCAACCTCCCGTTTTCTTATCTGAGGACATTTCCAAACATGTGTACACCCATGACTATTTTACTCATGGCTTGCCTGTCTCTTCCCTTCCAAAAGGGTGGAGCCACCTGACATTGGCATTCTCGTCCTAGGACAGTGTCAGGCACAAAGCAGGCACTCAATTACAGATGGCTGGCTGGAAAGCACCTTGAGATTTTGCAGGAGAAATGTAAAAAATCCACGTATGTCATTTTGGGCAGAAAAGTAATCGTGTGTGTGTGTGTGTGTGTGTGTGTGTGTGTGTTGTCTGACTTCAAGTAGATGCTAAGCTGGAGTCAAACAAGTCCCTCAATCTGGACTTTTCCTCTCACCCCTGTATCCAATTTCTAGAAAATCAGACTTATTGACCTTGTTGGGGGCTAGGAAAGTTTACAGGAGGAGTGGGGGGTGGGGTTGGTGGGGAGCAGTCCTGGTGGCAACATAAGCTAAGCATTGTTGCACTGGTTACAGAAAGACGGCAGTTCGAGCACACCAGACGGAAATATGGGCGAGAGGAGACTATCTGCTCCCATAAAGATCGACAGCCTTGGAAACTCTATGCAGAGTCGCTATGCGTCACACTTGATTCCGCGGCAGTGGGTCTGGTTTTAGTGGGGATGTTGAGGTGATACTTCTTGAAGAGGGCTGCCACTCTGGGAGAAGGACCTGCATGTCCAGGCGACTTCTGGATGCCCAGGGGGAGCGGGCTGGCTGGCTGCCTCCCCCTAGACCATTCTATTCTGGGCAGGGTGCAGACTCAGAAAGTATCGGTGGATGATAGCACAGACTCCCTCCCCCACCCTCTGAGCTCCAGCCACCCGTGAACCTGTGAGCAGGAGCAGAGAGAGAGGATGGGTCTGGGGTTGACAAATGACAAATGTTAGGTGATGGAATATCACGGGGAGCAAGGGGGTCTGTGGTGTCAGAGCAGGTCCCTCTCCTCTCCCCAACCTGGATGTGGCCCAGGCAGGGGAGACGTGAGAAGGCTGACAGGGCCTAGAGGTTGCTAAGAAACGTGAGGTAGAATTAAGGAAAGGATCCTTGGAAAACAAGGAGGTTGTACCACGTGTGTGTGGGCTGGGGGTGGGGGGGCTGAAAAGAATTTATTAGGCTCAGGCAATTCTTTGTGTGTGGTGTGTGGGTCCAAAGTGTGATAAGATGGAATTGCGATCCATAACTAAGGAGGCCGAGAAATTGAGCTACTTGCAAAAAACCCAGCCACAACAGCGTGGATGAAAGTCTCCCTCATTGACAATAACGTCAGCAAGCCTCAAGAGCGGAACCGAGGCAAATATGAATTGCTTTACCTCTGGGCGCGATGAAGAAGACGGGCTTTTCAAATTCAAATTCTGCTTTCTCCCATCCTGGGAATCATTCAGGAGATACGCAGTTTTTAAAATGTGGACTCTCCCTGGGGGACTTGGAGCACTTCACATAGCGCCCAGGATATGCCACGCACCAGCAAGCTCGGCAAGTACGCCTGTGGGTGTGTGTACGCGAGCCTGAAACATGCATTCTTGCAGTAAGAGCGGCCGCAGACTCACACGCCCAGCTCCGCCACCCTGTCGCCCGCCAAGAGGCTCTGGACGCCAAAGCCCGGGAAGTTAAATAAATAACCCCAGGGACCTTCTCCCCTACCCCCAAGTTAGCTGAGAAGAAGCGCTCCACTTCCTCGAAAATTGGGGGTACGAAAGAATTCATTCCATCCCGAAAGCTGGGAAGGACCGGTGCAGGCGAGATGGCTGCAATCGCAGACCGAGTCCCACACACCTTAAGGAACACGCCCTGAACCCACGGCCTGCCCCTCGAGGAGGTCGGCACGGGCGACAGGTCTCCTGGAGCCTGCAGGCTCCGCTGAGCGGCCGGCGCGGCCAGGTGCACCAGCCCAGCCAGCAGCGCTGGCCTCTCGCCGCCAGGCACCGGTGGCTCCGCGGCGGAGATTTACCGCTGGTTGGGCGGTGGCTTCCGGGGCCCTGGGGCGCCCTGGCTCAGATTACAGGTTCCTACGGAGGGGGTGGAGGGAT